TGAGCTTATAACAGGATATGAAACTGCGTATCATAGCTCTGATTTATATTCTTGGATAGAGCTATTATTAAGTTGTCATATGAACAGATGGGATATGAATGATGAAGCTCAGATTGGGTAACTACCAGTTGAGAGGAAGTGACTAATTGAACTTCAGAGAACAAGAAGTCTGTCTTCTTGCAGTCAAAATACGTGAAACAAAAATACATGTTTGTCCCTTCAATGTAGCTGAAGATCTGTTTCTTCTGCTTTGACAGCATGGAACCTTTACATTCATGTTGGCAGCTTGTCTGACTGCAATAATATAGAACATACTGAAGTTTGTTTTAAATAGAGGTTGCATAGTTTTAAGATTATGTAAAGTATTGCTTCTTAACAACTTGATGCAACTATTAGATGCCTTTTGAGTTCTGTGTGATCTAGCCTATAATGATGGGGATGTGCTTTATATTTCAAATCTAATTGTTGTGATTATGAACTGGGAGCGCTTGATTATTTCACTCTCAGTAATATAAGCTATTTTTCATTGCCCTAGTGTCTAATGAAAAAATTTTGGACTTTTTATATTTTGTAACGACATTAAGCAGGCATCTGCAAGGTTCTTATTATAAAACTGTGAAAACCACAGAGGATGAATGCTCTAAAATTAGTTTTATTAACTTCTACCTGAATCATAAACTCATCTTGTGTGTCACATCAAAACTTTTATCGAGTGTATCAATATTGTTAATTAATTGGCATAGATCAGCAATTTTAAAACTGTAGCACTTCAGGAATTCGGGTATGAACAGTGTGGCTCAAAGCAGTGATTCATGTTGCTACTGCTATCATAACAGAGGACTTAACACATTCAGATACTCTAACTGGAGCTTTAAAACACATTCAGATACTCTAACTGGAGCTTTAAAAACAATTTTGTGCACCTGGTTCATATCAATCTGTGGTGTGTCTAGTTGAATGTTTAAACGGCTAAAAAAATGTATGGGTTGCAAGTATAGGAAGAAAATTCAAACTACTTACGACAAAGCTATTTTATCATTTTGTGGGATAAGACAATGAATACGTAACTAAATAGCAAAATATCACTATAGATATGTAACATTTTAAGCATACGTGTGTTTCTGTGGAATCTCTATTTGTATTGGTACTGCAGAAACAAGGAAGATAAAACCATGTTGATCGCTTTACCATTATTATCTTTTAAGAGTGGTTATGTTATAGGTAAAATTATGGCAGTTACTTTGTGCTTCCGTTCATTTACCAGCAACAAAATAATGAGTTTCTGTATTTAAAAGCCAGCAACTTTGTTGCTGCTACTTAAGAAGATTCACTTCAGACATATTAAATGGCAGTTAATAGACATGAAAACAGAAGATACTCTATAGGAGCAAAGATTCTATGAGTACAGTCTGAAAATGAGTGCAAAAAGAAAAGCAGAACAACTTTCTATTCTTTGGCAGATACTCAAGTCATCAAAGTTTAAGTGGATACAGTTCACTCTAAGGAGAAACAAAAAAAAAATCTCATTTTATGGAAAAAACATCCGTTCCTGTGGTTGACGTATATTTAAGGCTTTTTATTTTAATTGCTGTTCAGCTTCTAATTGTCAGAACAGTTTGTAATTCACTCTGAATTTCTTCATTTTAGCTTGTTATCCTGAAAAAAAGAATGAGGGTCCAAATTGTTAGTTCACATATGCCAAAGAACGGTGCAGTAGGGTCTTATGTATTCTCACTTTGCTTTCTGGGTGTCTGAACTGGCATAATTAACATTTCATTATTTATGCAGTTCTACTACAATATAAGTTGATATGCTGAGAAATGGTGTATTTGTCAGCAGAAGTTGGCAAGGAACATTTGTATTCCCGTCCTCTTTGCCACATTTCCTTACTACCAGATGCTACTTGGATGCAATGTACTCTCAGTTATTGCTGTATTTGTACATTTGCTCTGGTATCCTTATATTAAATATACTATATTATTGAAGAAGGTATTTAGTTTATTCTTGAGATGCCTCTGTTCTGTAGCTAATTGCCATAGTCTTACTCATTTTCTGCATTTGTGTAAGGAGTTTGAACATCCCTGCAACACGAGGTGGTTGTGCTTTCCAATTGATTTCAGGCTTTGAACTGTTTTTAAAAAACATGATTAGTGTACTCAAAGCAGTTGGCCTCTGAAAGAATCTGCAAGAAGAAAGGCTTGGTTTGTAAACTTCAGTTCGAGCAATTAACAATGAGTATTAAGTGAAAAAAAACCCCAGTCTTTGGGCAAAAACTTTATTTTAAAATTTGAATTGTGAATTAGTTGTCTGCAAATAAATGTCTTTGCCCAGCTGCAAATCACAGACATTAAGGCCCCACAATCATGAGTTGCCACTAAAAATAATTATCTTCCTGCCTTTTTTTCCTTTGTAAATCTGTGCAGACTCGGGGAGTTTGGTTTGTTTTGTTATGTTTTCTTCCTTTGTTTTCATTGCTCCATCCCTAACAACTTGGGGCAGGGAGTCTTGTTACAAAGCTATTGCAAGTAGATAGTTTGTTACTTATAAAAAAATAAGTTATATAAGATATATTTTGAATTCTTCTTTATGTTAGTTAAAAGAAGCTGATGAAATTGGTAGATGACAAAATTTACACTGGCAAATTGAGCGAGCAAACAGCAGTATACCATATTTCTCAGAGTATCAAATGTTAATCTCGCACATCTTGTCTGAAAAGTGCCAGTGTACAATTTCTGCTGAGATGCCTATTTTGACCCCAGAAATGACCATTTTAGCCCCATGGCAAGAGTATTAGACATAATGACAGCTCTAAGTTGATGGTGCTGCTACAAGCATCATCATTAGTGTAAAGTCGCTGGGGTTTTGTGCAGAAAAGAAGACTTCTCTTGTGGTTTTGTATAACTACACTAACTTCAGATTACCTAACACTAAAAAATCAGGCCTGTATTACTTTAAAAGATTTTTGGTGTCAAAATACAGAATATTTCTATCTTGGTGTGTTAGAATTTATTATAGACGTAGAGACCTGCAGGATCTTTTCCATTTTTTCATGGAAGGAACATCGCATTTGAGTTACATGATGCACTGGGTCCATATCTAGTTATGTGGCATAGGACCAGGAGAAGTTTCGGTTTCCTTAGAAGATGCAGTGGCTGGAAACAGACTATGAAGAAGAATTCATCCAGAGCAATTCATCAAGACAAGGTTGTGTCCGTCACTGAAAGCTATGGTGTATAGTAAGTGAAAAGTACAAGGCAGAAGATACTTGAGTGAGGGGGGAAAGCAAGCAGAGTGGCCTGTGAAGTTTATTGCCTTCCAGAGCTTGAAATACTTCATCATTTCTGAGACTGGGCACTTTTTTCTGTCAGTAAATATTTATAAATCCTCAAGCAAGGTGATGGGCTGCATGGAGCTGTCAGTCTCTTGCTGTCACTTAGTTCAACCAACAGCACTCACTGCTGCATTTCTTGATCAACGGTTTGACTAAGCCCATGCCCTTTGTGTGGCACTGTGATACCGACTGGTGGGAGTTACTCTCCTGTTAGCTTTTTATGATGATTTAGGAAATTACACAGTGCTTGAAAAACTTCCCGGATTACTTAGCAGCTGGAGAATTCCTCTAATTGCTAGTTATTTTACTGCAGCCCAAGCAGGTATTGCTATCAAACTCTGACAATTCTTACGAAGTTGCAGAAATTCACACTTTGTGCCTGTTTCAGATCTTGTTTTGGAATTCCTGGCATTGATTCTGGTCAGAAGATACTTAGTAAATCTGCATCTTCATGCAGTCTAGGGTTGCTGTAGGAGAAAAGGGAACTTTAAGTCCTCATCTTGTTGTAAGACTTAAAGGGAGTAGGTTGTCTCTGCGCCTCTTTCTTATCTTCACAGATTATGCTTGGACTCGTGCCTTCCTCTGAATTTATTAGTGTGTATGAATTTAATATATGTATTTTATATACTAATTATTAGCAGTAGAAAAAGCTCTTGTAATTCTTTAGATAATGCTTTTGAATTGGATAGGCTTGTTGGTTTGGTTTGGGGTTTTTTTGGTTTGTTTTATGTTTTTTTTTCCAGCTTGGAAAAGTTTGTAAAGTGGTAGAGGTAAAAGTATGTGAAATAGCTGAGTTTGTAAAATAGCTGAGGGTACACATTTGAAAAGATGCATCATCATCCAGTTAATGGCTTAACTAAATGTCTGACAACTAATTTCCTTTGTCTTTCATCCAGTCTCAAAGATTTGATGAAAAAGGCTGCGTGGGCTAGAAATATTTAAGGTCCTTAGACCCTACTTGAGTTAAGAATGTATGTACTAAATAGTTGAAATAAACTAAACTTAAGATACCGATAAGAAATTCATATCAAAGATGGCATTTAATGTTTCTGAAATGTAAATATGCTGAACAGAATTGACTAGTTTTGACTGGGGACTTGGAGTTGTTATTGTCTTTATGTGGAGTAGCATTAACTGACTCCAAAATGGGGAAAAAAAAACCAATTTCATTTTCTAATACTTTAGCTAGTGCAATGGGTGGGGGAGAGGGAGTGTCTGTTTTTATTTCAAAACAAATGTGACAGCTCTGGAAAGCAGCTTTTTAAAATAAGTCTGACATATAAATAATCCTTAATCATGAAGTAGCAAAAACATTGCTATTTCTTAAAGACAATAAAATTGAAGATGCACTTCTTGCCTTGAAAACGTCTCTTAAGATTACAGTTAATATAGTACTAGACCAAAGCAGCAATTCAATTTTACAATGCTAGTTCTTCAGTAATGCTAACAGATTGAATATATGTTTTTAGAATAATTGGTATATGTGTTTTCAAATTCATAGCAAATTTATTTTTTGTAGTTGATATCTGTAGGAATGAAGTCTACCTTTTTTTCCTTTCAGTAAATCTGTAACTTAAATGTATAGTAAACGATTTATAACTATTGGTTTATCTGTTATATTCACTATTAATTTCTGCTTTTTTCCCCACTCTTTTTGTTTCTTATTTAGGTGTATGATTGCTGATGAGGTAAGTGATGTTCCTGTTCCTTTAACACCATTTTTCTTATTTTAATGTACTTCATGCAGATGTGACTTCTTTTGTTTGAGAGATGTGGGTGGAGAGGTTGGTAATGAAAGAAGTCTAATTCCTGTGATATTCAGCAGAATTCTGAAAATAGCGGGGGGGGGGGGAAGAAACCTGACTAAGCTTAAAAGAATCTTTGAGAAAACTCAGAAGGTTACTTTTAGTTATATTTAGGTAGGTTAAATCTCCTGTATTGTTAAATCTTAAAAAGATTAACTCAGTTGATATTTTTTTTAGCACTTTATAATTGCATAGCTAGCTATTTTTAATGGATTAGGAAACATTCCTGGCCCAAAGAGGTGGATTTTGAACAGATATGCCTTCCAAAGATGATTTTTCTTAAAAGCACTGATCAAGTAGTAATAATGAAATGCATGACTTTCATACATTTGAAAATGTATATTTTATTCTGTATTAGGGAAATTTGAGTCCAGCATTTCTTCCAGCATTTCTTCCTGCAGATAAAATGTTTTTGTAACAGAATATGATGTTCTTGATGCGTTGTCAGTATAAAACCTTCCTGAAAAAGAGGTGATGTTTAGGGATTGATATAGTCTCACAATTCTAATTTGGATTTTTTTTTAAACAGTGGAGGGGAGAGGGAGGGAGAGATTGATTACTGGGATTAAAGCATCTCCTTGTAGTATAAACATCTCATTACAGCTTAAGATAAACTATCCTGGCATGGAATGTGAAATTTCTGGAAACTTTGGAGAATACAAAAGCATTCAGGGAGGAGAAGAGGGAAGCTTGCAAAAAATGTAAAGATCAGCACTAGCTATTTGTTTATTTATTAAAACAAAGTTTCTTATTCCTTCCTTGAATGAGAAAATAAACAGTATGTAATTATGTTAGCAATAAAAAAATACTTCAAGATATATTTATTCTGAAGTAAATAATGTATATTTCATAATGACAATAGGTCCAGCACTGGTGAAAGTATTGTGCAATGGTGGTATCTTGTGCTTATTGACATCTCTAAAATAAGAAGAAAGTGTTGGTAAAAGAAAGCATCAGTATTGTGAACTTGTATAGGAAAAGAAGTTAAGTATGAAAACTAAAGATCATATAATAGATATACCTGGATTATGTAATTATGTAAGGATTAAAGTACAATAATGGTATCTTTTTGATAGGTATTCTAAAAATATCTTACCATTCTTTGGAGTGGGAACAGACAACGTTTTCCACCCAAAGTTTCAGGTTTTCCATGTCATCCATTCCCATGACTGAGAAAGGTGTTTTTAAATCAGTCAGCTATATTGGATCTAGGTTGTTATGGGTGTGCTACTGCCAAGAGACCTGGCTCATTTCAGCTCAGTTGTCTGGATCATCACCAGTGACCGGGCAATCTGAGTTAGGGAGACAGCTGTGGCAACAAACTATAAATGAATGTATTCTTTTTTCCTTTCTTGGATTTGTTTTCAGCTGGCTCAAGCACTATTGGTGACACAAGGAGGGCTTGCAGGAAAATTTTAATGAAAACTTGGCAATTGTTAACAAAAACTTAGTACCAGAGTAGTTCTCTGATTATTTTTCTTTCTAATAATAGTAGAAATATTAATTATATTTTCTTCTATATCTGGCAAATCTCCTGGTGATATCATTACATCAGTCCATTTAAACTCAATACTGAGGATATAAGTAAGTTGTTCTTTTATGTCTGTACCACGAGTAGTTAGATAGCAGCAAATTATTTCAAATATCCACTGGACTCTGGAAAACCTGAACAGAATATTTTAAGGCCAGTCTCTGCTTTAGTGCTTAACAGGAATCTGGAACTATCTCTTGCCATGTGAACAAGTAGAGAAAGCAGCTGCATTCTTTGATAAAATCTTGAGGGGTTTATTTTTTAATCAAAACCCTAAAAATCTGGATCTTATATTCATCTGTTGCTATCTATATTCATAACTCATTAGATGGGAGCGTTCCTACCTCGACAATAGCTAGTACTTTATTGTTAAATATACAACTGTGTATTGTATCTTTACCCTTCACCTTGTGTTTAAATCTGAATTCTCCACTAGGTGGACTTCCTATCCTGTGTTACAGAATAAAGAGAAACCATTAGCTACGGTGAATGACAGCAGTGGTTTCTTTTCATTGACCTACTGGGTCAAAAGCAGAGATATTCTTATAGATCTTCCTGTGGTCTTCAGTAGCCTATGCAACTTAGGACAAAGTTGTCATTTTTCTGTTAAGAGGGCATCCCATATTTATCTTTCCTTTGAATAGTCTTGTTAAAGTGTTTTTGGTAGCTTAACAAGTTAGAGACTTTGATCTGTATAGTCTAACCTACTAAAACCCTGAGCAGAAAATCTGTTGAAATAAATGAAGATGCTTCTTTTAGCTTTAATGAGCTAACCAGATATATGTATTAAAAAGAAGCATATTCTTTCATAAAAGATGATCTGTGGTAACAAATTGACAATGAAATAGATACTATGTAACTAGCCCTTTGGCTTTGTGTCCTTTACCTGGTTCTGTCTTTGCAAAATATTTTTGGCTTTTCTGAATGGAATATGCTTTCTGAGCGCAGACTTCTATTTTTCATTCTTTTCTTTTCTTTTTCTTTTCTTTTCCCAGATGGGGCTAGGTAAAACAATTCAAGCAATTGCCATTTCCTATTACTATAAAAACGAATGGCCTCTCTTAATTGTAGTGCCTTCATCTCTGAGATACCCTTGGGTTGATGAGATGGAGAAGTGGATTCCAGAACTCTCTCCGGATGATATTAGCATCATTCAGAACAAAACTGATACTGGGTGAGTAAAGTTCGTTACTCTTCTATAGAAAGAGTTGTTCAACCCCCCTGCTGAAGCCAGTTGCCCAGGACTCTGTCCAGATGGCTTTTGACTGTCTCCGAGGATGGAGACCCCACAACCTTTTGGGGCAACCTGTTCCAGTGCTCAGTCACCCCTGCAGTAAAAAAAAATGTTTCCTGGTGTTCAGAGGGAACCTCCTGTGTTTCAGTTTGTGCCCATTGCCTCTTGTCCTGTCACTGGGCACCACAGAAAGGAGCCTGACACCATCTTCTGTGCACACTCCCTTCAGGTATGCATATACATTAAGATTCTCCCTGAGCCTTCTCGTCACTGGGCTAAACAGGCCCAGTCAGTCTTTCCTCATAGGAGAGATGCCTCAGTCCGTAAATCATCTTTATGGCCCTTCATTGTACTCTTTCCAGTACATCCATGTCTCTCTTGGTCTGAGGAGCCCAGAACTGGACACGGCACTCCAGGTGTGGCCTCACCAGTGCTGAGTGTAGGGGAAGTGTCACCTCCCTCGACCTGCTGGCAATACTTTGTCTAATGTAACTGAGGATACCTTTGCTGCAGAGGCACAGTGCTGGCTCATGTTCAACTTGATGTCCACCAGGACCCCCAGCTCCTTTTCTGCTGAGCTGCTTTCCAACTGGGTGGCCCCCGTGTGTGAGGTTGTTCCTCCCCAGGTGCAGGACTTTGTACCTCTCCTCGTTGAACTTCATGAGGTTCCTGTCAGTCCATTTCTCCAGCCTGTCAAGGTCCGTCTGACAGGCAGTGTGGCCCTCTGGTGTATCACCAACGCCTCCCATTTTTGTATTATTATATTCTGGTAGTTACTCATCTCCTCTGAAAATGAGAGGTCTGTTTTTTGAAAAGTAGCAAGTACTTGTCTGCTGAAAATTAGATTATTTCAGCGTGTCTGAAATTGAACATGTACAGTTATTTCTCAACTCTGATGAATTAGCTTGTATTCATTAGCTTCTGTAAAACATTTTGAACACATTTTTTGAAAACTTCTGGTATGCATTACAAAATAAGGAAGTAATTACTGGCAAAATTCTATTTAGCGCACTGAGAAAACTCGTAAGTTAGAATAAGTATTCTCTAAATAACTGAAAAGGTCATCATGACCTAAGTTTTCTATCTTTAGACTTAATAGCATGAATTCATCAGAGAGAGACTACAAGTCTTGGGTGTTATTAGAATAACTCTCCTATTACACTGAATTACAAGGGTATTTAGTCTGCTTTACTGCAAATTACTTGGTTGATTTCATGGTAATGGTGAGATGTTGTTCTAAAACTTCTGGATAAGGAAGACTGATCTTGGTTTAGTCTGGGGAGTATCAGAGTGTGACTTGAGTGCCAAGATGTGCAGATGAGACAGTAGCTTGGAACCTTCCCTGTGGTAACCGGCTAAATCCAACTGAAAATCCATCTTAAGAACTTAATCAAGGGGTAATTGCTACTGATAGTGAAAATTTAGCTTTATCGTAGGAATATGGGAATTAAAATGAAGATCAATGAGCCTTTTCATTTTTTTAAGCTATTTAGCTAAAATGCACATAAACTTAATGCTTATAGTGCTGAATGCAGAGAGGAGAAATGAGGAATGAGGGAAATGACAGCAAAAGTAAATGGCAAACAGAATTCTGGTCTTTTTGTCCTTTAACATTTTCAAAAGGAGTAGACCTTAACCATTGTCACTTACTTTTATTCAACAACAAGAAAAGAGGAAAACTTGGTTTTCTGCTTGTTTAACTCCCAGGAGGCTTCCTAGCAGTAAGTGAGGTAGCTGTTGAACTAATTAATATTTTAACATTAAGAAGTGTTTTATGCATTTGCAAGAAAATGCAAATGCAAAAATACAGCTGTCAAACTTGGTTTAGCATTTTGTTAAATTCTGCTTCCATATGTTCAGCTTTGATTTCTCTAAGTTCAATACTTGCTTTTCTTCAAAACTTCAGCAATGAAATTTGCTGCTTGAATGTTGTTTAACTTCTTAGTTTAAACGGGTTAAAATATACTTAGGCATCAATTTAGGTTTTTATAATTTCTAAATAAATTTGAAATTGGATGTTTCTTGAATAAATTTGTTCCACTAAGAATAAATAAATTTATTTGTAATTTTTTATCCACCCTTCATAAAGGGGTAAGAGAAATTCTTGTTTTCCTGGTTGCTACATTTATCTGTACAGTAACAGCCAGAGTCTGTAGTGCATTGACCATAGTGCCGTAGTGCTCTAACCATTGCCTCTCCTTGCATATCCAGAAACATGAGTGTACACACGCTTTCTCCATCTTAAATACTGAAGGCAGTTTCAATTTAGTGGGGTTTTTTTGATGTTGCCACTGGGGAGCAAATAAGAATCATGCCAGCAGAGTGGTAGTGTCTGACAGATGGGTAGACCAGCTATGACTCTCATTGTGGTGACTTGTTTGTCTAACAACTTAAAGAGTTCCTGTGCTGCTCAAAGGCTCCTGAAGGGCCACAGTGCTCTCTAGTGATTTTAAAATCAATCCGTGCCTTAGGCCTATGTATGTCTTTAAATTTATTGTAAGAAGTTCATTTCCAACTAAATACTAATCTTTCATCTTGTGTCTCATTGATTCCCTGCTTCCAGTTTTTTGTTTTCTTCATTTGCTGTGCCAGCAAAAAGGCTGGATAGAGGGCTCTGATAAGAATGTTTTTTTTCAGGTATTAAGGTTCAGCCCAAACTGTACTCTTACAGTACCCAAATACTCAGAGGCAGTCTAATTAGTGGTCTTAGGCTGCTGAGGAGGTGACTCTTTGTACACAGAGCAGTAGGTAGCTTGCACAGAGACATATTTACTTCAGGTGTTTGGGTGTTCACAATGATCTGACTTGTGTGTAACTGTTTATCCAGAAAGTGGACTCGTCCTATGTGATACTCCTGGAAAAGAGCACAAGTTGAAGCAATGCAACCAAATAAATGAACTTCCTTTTAAGTGCAATGTATGTCTTCTGCAAATGGTTATGAAATGTGCGTGATTTCTAGTGTGAGATGCTAGCATATTTTAAACACCAAAAGCTGTTATTGTTAGCCTGACAGCCCGCTAATTAATCGATCCAAAAGATGTCATACATACCTTCTAAAAAAAAAATAAAATAGTTTGGTATAATTTCTTTGCCATATTAATTTTCCTACAATGAAAATTTACTAAGAAAACTTCTGGATTTTCTCTTTTAGGAGAATATCAACCAGCAAAGTAACGATTCTGGGGTATGGCCTGTTAACTTCTGATGCACAGACTTTAGTAGACACTTTGTACAGGCAGAACTTTAAGGTAGTTGTGATTGATGAATCACACTATATGAAATCCAGAAATGCCACACGCAGCAAGATTTTGTTGCCAATTGTGCAGAAAGCTCTTAGAGCTATTCTTCTTACTGGAACTCCTGCTCTAGGAAGACCTGAAGAGGTATTTGACATAGTCTGTTTTGCTTTGTTTTTTTAAAAGGATGGTATCAGTAATAAATGAACAATTTTGTAGTTTTCTTGAATATATACAATTGCATGCATTATAACATCAAAGAGTGCACTAGCTGCATTAGGAAGCACAAGTATAAGAAACTAAATGTCTTTGAGTTTATTATATTGATCTTTACAAACTCGTTTCAAGCTCATGCATAGGTGAATTGAGACAGTGTTTCTTCTAAGAAATAAATCTTGCACTTAACAGACTGACTGTGGGGTGAAATAGAAGATAGTTTAAGTAGAGAACTATTTGCATCTATTGTGTTTGACAGTCCTTGGTAGACAAGAACTTGTATTAGAACTTCTGCTTCCTCATCTGATATAGGAAGTCCTTTGTTTATCGCTTGTCTTTTGGATATTGCAAATGTTCGTTTGTATTGCATAAGTGGAAAAATATATCCTGTGCTTGTTGCAGTCCAGAAAGACAAATTTTCCTTTGAACGAAGTTCAACTTATGGAACTGGGGAGGAGCAAAGAGGAAATCAAAACCACTTGGATTTTATACTGAACCCAAGAAAACCGCCTTTATTTATCAAATGTAGAAATAAGTTGAATATAAGAACTAATTTGTATGCAGGGAACTTATAAGCATTAATCTATGTAATACTTTACACTTTAGAGTTTCTTGCTGTGTAGATAGAACTTACGCCAAGACTCTTTAATTTGTTCAGAGAGGTTAGAACTTGAGAAAGCTATCTGCTCTATGAAAAAGGGCTTGATGTATTATGAGTGTGTCCTTAAAACTTTAAACAAATACTTATATCTGTGGATATGGATAATTATGAAACTTCCTGCATGTGTACCAAATACTATGTTATACTTTTATATAGTGCATTGATACTGAGACCAGTAAGTAATGTCACTAAAGGTCTTCAAAGGAAATTCCTGTCCTTGATCACAGCAGTGGGATCAAAACTCATGACCAAATGGAAGACAATTAGAGACATTTTTATAGTGATACCAAAATTCTGCCATAGTTTACAAGGCAGAGTGTAAAAAGAGATATGTCTCTTTAATCTGTTTTGTTTTATAAGCAGAACCTTTCTATGAGGTCTTTAAATGGACTATGTATAGAAAATGAAAAACATTATTCATTTATATATGTATATAGCAAGTAATTTTAGGCAGTTTCTTATTTGGCCTAGATTGATGTCAAAATAGCAGCTCTTCACTTGGGCAAATAAATTGGGTTTGGTTTCTTTTTTTTTTTTAATACTGCCTTTCAGTTTTCTGACTTCTGTCTCGAAAGAATCCTGTGAAGGACAAAATTAGGCTGTAGTAATTTTCTTTTTGGGAGAGGTCAGTAGGATGTGATTAGATAATATGAAAGCTTAAATCGCAGAAGTGATGTCCAGTAGACTTAAGAAGATAGGAAGGAAATGCATTTACGAGAGAACCTCCCAGGTTCCTGTTGTCTCTATGCCCTACTATCTCTCAACGGTGTGTCTTGGATCTAGTAGTGATCTTTGAATCCAGAAAGCTTTGACAGTAAAACAGCTTGTAAAGTAGGATTCTTTCTGGTTGTTAAGGCTGTCTAAACTGGTATTTATCTGTTGTTACTCAAGCAGGAAGAAAGGCATGAAATTTCTGATCTGTATTGACATTGTCTATTTTTTGAAGTAAAACTTAAGCATGAGTAGGATTTTCATGTATTTTAAGAAGCAGACTATTCATGGAATACCTCCACTGAAGCTTTGCCTATGTACCTGGTAAATGACAAATGTTGTATTTTTAGGAATAACACCTTCTCATCCATGTTTTCTTGTTCAGTATAAATCTTTTCCAAGTCATCAGCACTATGTTAGTGGTGTTCAGGGTGCTCTGTTCTTTGAGGGCTTCCTACAGCTGTCCTGGCTCAAAACACATGCGTACTCCTATGGAATATCTTTTGCATGTGTGCCAAGTTGTGTATTTTTTGTGGAGCTGTTGAATGTAAACTTAACACAATAATCGTATAATTTTCTGAAGAGCCTTACATTTGCAGGCAATTTTTCATGATCACTTTTTTCTTATACAGCTTTTCATGCAGATTGAGGCACTGTTTCCAAGAAGATTTGGAACTTGGAGTGAATATGCCAAAAAATATTGCAATGCTCGTGTCAGGTATTACTGTACTTGCTCGTTTATTTTTCTATGAGTGTCTTTGATTTTTCTTGTCATGTGAAGTGAGAGAATCAGTAAGTAGTACCTCTATTGCTGTATCATACCATCTTGCTTGGAAACTCAGGGTCAGATATCATCTCCATCAGAGAGGTTTGGGAATTGTCAGGAGACTTTATTTGAGGACAAAACTGGAAGCTATTAAAGTTTGAAATAAAGGTTAAGTACCAGCATTCTGTTAAGTAAATGATTTGCCAATTTACTGTCGTTAGTATGAAGTGTATAGGTTTTGCCTTTAGAGCTGGACTTTCAGCTGCAGCGGAAACTTAGGAGTTTCTGACGCTCAGTCTTAGGCTCATATCATGTAATAATTTACAACTGTCTTTATTAGAGATCCCATCTTTTTGCCATCCCACCATACTTGGGTGGAACAAAAAGACCAACAGTTGTCTCTATTTTACAGACTGAGTAAAAAGTAAAGGCATAGAACTCCTGAAAGCACAGTAGTTTGTTCATAATTCCGTTTGAGGGATCAAATATGGGCACTGTAAGTTCTTGTCCACCACCTTGCTTCCAATTTGCCAGGTAACATTGCCTATTAGACTTTTTTCCAAACATGCGCCTAATGAATTTTAACCCGTTTTTATCCCTTGTATCTTTCATGAATTTTCACGTTTCATGTGCTTTAAGTTATTAACTTCAGGAGGATTCATTTCCCTCTGAATTGCTTCCCTCAGCTTTAGTTTCTATAGCTATATTCTGAACTAGAGGGAACAGAAGAAGCACTGATTTAAAATGCTTAGTTTTACCCATCTGAGTCTATGTTACAATCTGGAATGAAAGAAATTATGAGAAAGGAAGAACCTTCAAAAAATTTCTTAGCGAAAATAATAATTCTCTACAACTTTGCATATGTTCAAAATAATAGATTTTGTCAGCTAAATTGCCTAGCATTTAGATTTAATTTTTACAGTAATAATTACATGGTTTCATTTTCAGATAGCTTGTTTTTCTTCCTCCATCATATGCATTTTATCAGCGTTTAACTTCAAACAACATGGAAGAGTGGTGTCTAATTTTCAGACAGAGAAATGCTATTTTTTCCATGGTGTTTTGACTGAATGCATCTGTAATTTTCACACCACAAGTGTGCGTGGGTACAGCATGGTTAGCTATTCAATCATAGATGATTATCTTATTTTTGGAATACCATAAATGTAATAAAAATCAAGTTTAGGGTTTGGCAAGCTTTCAATAAGTAACTTTGTCTTCATGACTTGGCTGAAACAAAATATTCTGTGATAATGAACTCAATAGCATTATTTTATGCAGCACTTTCTGTGAAAATGTTGTGGTTTTTTTTACTTAGTTGTTCATAGGCACCGGTTTCTAAAGATGAGGGCCAAAGTATTTCTGTGAGGCCTACCATTTCTTTTGTATCCCCAATGCTTATGCTGGAGGGAGGAAACCTTTCTAAGGACAGCCGTATAAATAGACCAAAGAAGGGATATGAGCAAAAGATCTTGCTATCTTCCGTCTGCGTAGCGTTCTGAGAGTGTTATGCCGACTACTTCACCAGTGTAGAAGTGAGTCCCTCAGCCCCTTTCCCGAATAATTACAGGCAGCCAACTAAAACACTGTTGATAAGCTCAGTAAGGCTTAAAATTTTCTAAATTATATTAACAAAAAAATAAATCAGTAAAATTACATGCTTGCAATGTACTCTCCTGGCCTTGGAAAATGCTACCTGGGCTTTTCTCCAAAGGCAGCAAAATCTGTCATGCTTGTTATTTTGTTATCTGCTGGCAGTGTTGACAGAGAAAAGCTGCTGTTCCTGCTGCAACGCTTCCTGGAAAACAACAAAGCAAAGAAAGAACAAGGAAGACTAAGTTAATAAATTCTTTCTCTTTTCCATGTTTACCCTTTTAACCTTAAACATACTTCCGTTAAATAATTACATAAATGAAATAGTATTACATTTAAAGCTGGTATCTTTAGCTTTAAATCTTGTCTCTGACTGTAACTAGGAGGGGATTCTCAGGGGGGACAGACAGAGGAATATCAATGGTGATATTTGCAGCTTTCATGATAGTATCTCTATCGGTTGTTCCCATCTATAATATAATAAAGAGAATTTTCCTGGTGATATAGTCTTCTCATTAGTCCATTGACACAGGAGTTATAAAATGATACCTGAATGATTCTCTCTGTAGGAAGGGAAGAGTAGCTGGGCTGAGATAGAGGGCTGTATGCCTCTGATGGGTCGTAATGCCTGCGGGCAGTGGTGTCTGCGGACAGGAAGCAATCATCTCTCTGGCGTAAACAGGAATGCTCAGTGTTGCTAGCCAGCATGCCTTCGTATCTAACTGCGTTTTAAAATTAATTGCGTACTAAAGGTTTCTGTTGAATTTGGAAGGGCTAGTTTTTACCCTCGGTGCAATTTTTTTTTTTTCATTTTCAGGTTTTTTGGTAAAAGAACTCAATGGGACTGTAGAGGAGCTTCAAATTTAGAAGAACTACATCAACTTTTAAGTGAAATAATGATCAGAAGACTGAAGAATGATGTTCTAACTCAGTTGCCTCCCAAAGTTAGGCAACGTATTCCATTTGACCTCCCGCAAGCTGCAGCTAAGGTGAATTTTCCACTTTTGCTAAAAATACATTTGTTAGTAAATAATAATACCTATGTACTCATATGTATTTATATGTATGCATGTGTATTATATGTAGTTACAAAGAATGTATGAATATATAGCATAGCATCTCTGTTATTATTTTTTAAGTATAACATGAAGAACATGAATATGGCAATTTTTGGCATCAGATAATGATAAAATTTGCTCTAATTTTAGTATGATCGTCTTCCTTTCTGTCTTCCTTTCCTTTAGAATTTGAATCCTACTGTTACTTTTAGGCAAATTTGATAGAGTTCTCAAAAGTACTCAATTCTGAAATGTTTCATGCTTGAAATATACATGTTGAGGTAGAACATGCTTTGTACTATATATCTAACTACTGGTCTCTTCTGCCAATTAGAATTTGAATACCACTTTTGCAGAGTGGGAGAAATTAATGAGAAATCTGAATTCGGATGCCACTGAAAGCCACTTCTCTCAAGTCATGAATCTAATCACACGCATGTATAAAGAAACAGCCATTGCCAAGGTAAGCATGGAAGTCATCTAATATGTTTAAAATATCCGGTATGTTTTTAATTCAATTAAATTAGTTGTATTGGCCTGAATATTAGACGAGGTTAGTTGGTTTGTTTTATAATCACAATGTGGAGAAACACTCTTTTTTCTCTGTATATTTATGGAATAGGTTGAACCCCATTATAATGACCTGAGGTAAGTGTTAAAAGTGTTATTGATTAGATATCTGCCAAGCTGGCTGAGACTGTCCACACATATTTTCCCAACAGCACTAAATGCCTGACACCGACTTAGCGGTGTACCGAAGGTGGGTACTTCAGGGATGTACCTGTGTGTCAGCAGCTGCTGCAGCTGACCCAAGATGTTGCTGATGCAGCCCTTACGCAGACTGCATTCTGTCTGTCCTAATTCTCCCCGTGGATAAATGTGGAAGAACAATCCTGTCTAGCTGGTCTCTTTCTGTTTTATCAATTGGTACCCCCTGTTCTGTATTTTCCTCCTATAATACTCTCACTTAAGATGGACGGAAAAATAAGTTAATAGCCAAAATCCTTTACATGCCTACTTTTTACCCTATTAACAGGTTTCATTATGCTAAACTATTTTTAAAAAAGGAAAAAGTTCTGCAGGCTGCTGGAGCAGTAAGAGTTGAGAATCTGACCAACTCCTTCAAATTTTTCTCTCCTTAACTTAAAAATATCATTGTGATTCTGTTGCTATTTCTTCCCTACTCTTCTAGTCTGTCTCCTACCCTCTGTTAAACCGTTTCCAAAGAGGAAGTTGAAAGAAAAAAAGGAGGGGAAAAAAAGAAATTTTAGGATAATGCAGTGGATATTGCATTAACCATTGATCACTGATAAATTTTATTAACTGTCAGCATTACTTTAATAGTTTTTGTAAAAGATATTGAAAATGATATTTGACACAAAAGAATTCTATGAATGTTTAAATAGATCAATCTTTTATGTTTATGGTATCATGAAAGTATCAAAATTATTCTTTCAGTTTTGATATATGGCGTCCTCGATGCAGATACAGAAGTTCTGATTACACAATATGTTGTCCGTTTGAAATATGTTTGGGCAGAAATCAGTTTGGTTTTGACGGTATTTTTTTAAATATGGCTTAAAACAACAAATAATAATGTTATAACTAGCAGGGGGTTTACCTACATCTTAGTCTGGAAGAAGTGCTGTGTAATTATGTGATCTTTTGAGGATAAAGTTGTTTTGTTTGGTTTTTTTTTTTCCTCTGAAGGAATGAGATGTTTGATAAAGTCTTAAATGGATAATACAAGGTGTGGTCATTTATCTTTTCATATTACAAGAAATCAAAAGACATTAAAACAAAAACTGCCTTTTTGAACATTTTTGTATGTCTAATTAATGAAAACATGCTCTCTTATTCCAGGCAGGAGCAGTAAAGGACTATATCAAAATGATGCTTGAAAACGACAAACTGAAGTTTCTTGTTTTTGCTCACCACTTAAGCATGCTTCAAGCCTGTACAGAGGCAGTTATAGAAAGTAAGGTAATGATTTAACAAATTTGCGCACGTATTTAACTTTGGACTTTACAAATATGTATGACCTGTGTTTGAATTCAGTAGAACTAGGTCTGTGTAACAGGCATTTATTGATTTTAAGTATATACAGATCAGTGCCGCTGGATTAAAGGGATTGTGTGGTTTTGAAGAAATGTTTTGTATTTGAGGATAATGTAAACACTCATATCTAGTGTGATACATTATTATTGAATCATTGTTGTAGGCAGTTGTTTCCCAGGTTTTTCCACCAAAGTGCTTCTGTTTCCTTTCTGTTTTTTGCAGAATGCTATCATCTCGCCTGAACATTTAATTCAAAGCAATACAAATGTTTGCAAACAATTTCCATATTATTTTGATCATGTACTCTCAGCCATTGCTAGGGAATGGTGGCTAACTTTGCTATTTAATATGGTTATTATTAGCTTGGAATTTTCGTAAATCATGTCGAGGAAATTGCAGATTCTTCTGTGGAGTATTCCATTTTAAGATCCCGTGTTATTCTGTCTTCTCCTTTTGTAAACAGGGAACACGTAAGTCTGCACTAGTCTAGGTAAAGAGGCTTAACTGTAAATCAAAGTCCAAAGAGTACGATGTCTCTCTATCCCTATGACAGGAATAGAACAGATGTTTTCATATTTTCTATGAGGGCGAATGGGTTGAAAAATGGTCACGGATTGTTTCATTTTTGTCTCCATTGTAATATGTTATAGGTTCGCTACATACGAATAGATGGAAGTGTTCCTTCCGCAGAAAGAATACATCTTGTTAATCAGTTTCAGAAGGATCCTGACACCCGGGTTGCTATTTTGAGTATTCAAGCGGCTGGTCAGGTAAGACAAAAAAGAAATGTGAAATATGAAACTTGAAGAATATAGATACTAAAGTCATTGGTGACTGCACTGATTTACTGAAGGCAGTTCATGCAATATGTCTTTTGTAGATTCAGGTATTCATTTTTTTCTACTAATCATGTTAACTGTTCTAAGCCTCTGTTGAAATTACTTGGATAAAAGAAAGATAAGCAGCAGCATCTCATTCTTGAATAATTAGTAAAATCTCAATTTCTCTGACAGTACCAGATTAATAAGAAATACATGTTACTTCTGTAATGAAAAGCAGTATGCAGCCTTTACACAATATTGACATATTTTCTGAATCTTACTAAAATCTATCTGAGGCCCAAGGAAGAAATCAGTGTAATAGGCCCATCTGCTATCCAGCGGGTTCCTCTTATTTCCATATAAAAATGTTCAATATAATATTTAGCTTTGGTTTGTTTCAGATATCCAGTTGTTTGGGTGTGGAGTCTTTTTTTTCTGAAATCTATCTACTTATTTTGTTTAGGGATTAACTTTCACTGCTGCTACTCACGTTGTGTTTGCTGAATTATATTGGGATCCAGGCCACATTAAGCAAGCAGAAGACAGAGCACACAGAATTGGGCAGTGCAGTTCTGTGAATATTCACTTCCTTATCGCAAAAGGAACAATGGATACTCTTATGTGGGCAATGCTGAATCGCAAGGTATGTGTGGAATAGAACCAAATATTCAAGAACTCAGTATGGTTAAGATAGCACTTAAGGGCACATGCCAAACAACGTTCTTGCTTACCTAGAGCAGCATCCTACTATAAGAGAAATTGATACACCTAGAATTGTTAATTGTAAAAATGTCCATTTCTGTTCTCAGTCTTTTCTAGCTTCTTGCTCTCTGTTTAAGATTCATTCATCTCTTTGCCAAGATGAATGGGATGGTTCATATCTACAGGAGATCGTTGGTTTATCTTCCTTCTTCCTTTTTATTGCTCTGGTTGTTCAATACACAATTTTAAGGTTTTCTGCTCACTCATAACAGCTAGAGTTTATTGTGGTTTGGATTTTTTTTTTTTTAATTGGATGAATGGTGGGCCTTAACAAAACTTTGTTTCTTAGAGGCAGAAGCATTCTCAAATAATTCTTCTTCTGTAGACCCAAGATGACAGTAACCTTATCTTCTGTTGCCATTTTCCTCAAGTCTTACCCAGTCCTTGTTAGGAAGAGTAGTTCCATTCTGCCTTTCTTTCCTTACTCGGAAGATCTTTGAGAGTTCACAAGACTAAGAAAAATAATTTGGCTGTTTTGCTTTTGTGACCTTTTTGTAGCCTTTGATACCATTCATTAGTGTCTTGTTTTGATAACTGAGGTGTGTTAGTGTTCTGTCAGCTCGTTTTCTGACATTTCCAGAAGTGTCAACGCAGAAAGAACTGCCTTTTAAACTCTAGTTGTCAAAATCATTTGACGTTGTTGGTTATACAGAATTTATTCTGATGTAAATGCCAACTTATGGTCGTTGTTCCTGCATTTGGCTACCCCTGTGTTGTAGTGGTTCAATTTTTTGTGTCTGTACAGTTACTGTACTGAGAAACTGATAACTGGTTTTTTTTCCAATATATTCCTCTCCTGCTGAAAAGTAATCACAGCTTAAAGAATCTAAGTACTGCAAACTGTATTTGACATTCAGTTGGGGAATTAAATTCTGTCTTCTAATTCCTTTAGGTACCTCTGAAAAAAAAATCTCAGTCCAGTACATTAAGAATCTCCTTAAACATGGCTCAGATGGGGTCTCAGAAATTCACCAACAATTTACCTTCCAAATTCTGTCCCTAAACTGCTTCTTCCAATTAATTCTGCCTTTGTGTGTCTCCATGTGCCAAGCAAAAGGTGTTAAGACTGTAAGAGATGTACACAATGTATATATTCTCTTTTAACTTCAATAAATACTGACATTTTGTATACACCTTTTCACAAGTCATAGTGTGTTAAATACACTACTTACTGTTATTCTTGCAGACATGGATGCTGGAAAATGAATAGTTTTAATCACTGAAGTTATTTTTAATTACTGCGGAGTTTCTTACTTTGCAAATGCTGAATTAAGTTTGCAAGGGAAGCAAATTGAGTGAATACAGGTAAATAAATTTATTCCAACATGTGAATTCCTTGGAAGTTTTACGCAAGTCTTCTTTCTGCAGGCCAAAGTTACAGGCAGCACCTTGAATGGCAAGAAAGAGAAAATGCAGGCTGAAGAAGGTGATAAAGAGAAATGGGATTTTTTGAGTTTTGCTGAGACCTGGACCCCGAACGAAAGTCTAGAAGATCACAGAAACGAACTTTTATTTACACATGTAAGACTCAAAATTATGTTTTTCTTTTTTCTTTCATTTAAAAAAAATTACAACCATTGTCCACTTAAGCTTTTGTGCACTGCAGACTTTACTAACAGAGAAAAACTAAATAAGTGGGGAAAAGTAACGCAAATTCCATTTTAAAAGTTGGGTGTGGCTGGGGAAAGTGCTCTGCTGGGTATAAATGTCATCTGCAGGCTTCTGATGGGACCTGATGGTATGTTTAGGTGACTGACCCACCCTCAGAGATAAGACCAGGTAATTTCTGTTGAAGTTACAGCTTTGTTAACTGTACTGAATTTAATTGGCTATTATTTTAAAAACAATGTTTAAAAGCCTTTCGTTGTAATAGGCATTATCAAAAAAGGCACATAGCTTACCAGTTCTGTGTACTTGTTTTCCGATAGTGCCATTTCAGAATTTTCATGAGAATATTGAAAATACTTTTGACAAAACAAGAGAAAAGTTGAATTGCTTTTTCTACTATCTGTTCTTAAAGGAAGATATCTTTTGAGTCCGTCTCCAAACTAAAAATAGCTTCTTGTGTTAGAGAGTAGTATTAATGGAGAAAAATCATAATTTTAACAGCTTCTCATCCAGTAATTATAAGTGGGACTTACATATTTTTTTCCTCTTTCCTAGTTTGAAAAGGAAAGACAGCATGACATACGTTCTTTCTTTTCCCCAAAATCCTCCACTGAGAAGAAACGCAAAATATTTTGTGGTAATGAATCGTTACATAATGATTCAGAATCTTCTGAAGTCACAAAAGAAGAGGATACAGAGAAGATCGATGAAAACCTGGATTCCACAGGAATAAGTGATGTGGATACAATTTGTCATGAAAGTACCTGTGAACGTGAAGCTAAAAGAGCAAGAAGCATAAGTGGATCTACTCCAGTCAGCTCCAGTAAGAAAAAGAAAAAATCTTTGACTGGAAAAAAGCCGCCTTTGTTTTCAGAAAAACACAATGAAGTCCTTCCTTGTGGCTTAAATACTTCAAGCAAAAGTGCAGCTTTAAATAAAGTATGGCGCTGCGGTGTTTGCACTTACAGCAATAATGAATTGCTCCCTTACTGTGAAATGTGCAATTGCCCTCAAAGCAGTAATGGTAAGTAATGTGTGCTGCAGAGAAAAATAGGCATTTTTCTTTTCAGTTGTGATTAGTTTCAGAAAATACAGTATTTTTGAGTGTATGAATATGCACAAATCCAAGCAAAATACGAAGAATGGTGTCTTTACGTGGACAGATACCCATTAAGTGATCCTTCTTAATTTTGCTTTCCCTAAGGATCTTTTACATTATTATAATTTGAAACAAATGGAAAATTCAGATAAATGATAACAGGATATAAATTCAGTGAGGAAGAACATATGCTCAGTTTTCTTTGCAGCAACTGTAGCTCTCCTCTTCCTTGAGGTTTATGGTTATTCTGAATCCAACTTTAAGGCAAACCTTTTCACTGCCTCTCAAAACTAAGTTATATGGTATAGATGTTTTATTAACTTGAGTATTGTATATTTCTCATGAGACACAGAAATTATGGCATTTCTTGCTACAACATGTCAGAGTAGATTTTTTTTATTAAATTTATTCAATCTATCTGGAAACTTAATAAAACATTTTTATAAAACTATCCCCATATTTGCTATTTCAATTGCAAAGGAAGGAGTGAGGTTCTTTTTCTTTCTTTTTTTCTAAATTTTATATGAGTCTCTGTGCTTGGTCAAGTAAGGACAACTTCTCAATTTCACAGGTGTAGATCAATGCCTGGAAAACTACTTTGTGTGTTTATGGTATACAATAACTGTATATAATATAGAATTACTAACTGCATTATTCATTGTCTCTATTTTGACATTGAGCTGGGTGTATGAAATTGCATAAATGGAAAACTCTGGTTCATGTGTTCATTCTTCTAATATTAAAGTTAGCTCTAGTTTCTGAAGAGGTTGCACCATAATAATATTAAAGAATAAAATGCAATGTATTTCAATTACATAGTCTTGTCTCCAGATGTGTATTGATTCGGTACCCATTTGTGCAGGTAGCATAAATTATGGCTTTTCTTGTTTCTTCATCTATAGTTGAGAGAAATTGTGAAGCTCCCATGAGCCAGACTGAGGAAGATGTGTCAAAGGACTCCAGAAGAAATGAAGAGCGAGTAGAGTGCAGTGCTGAACGCAGAAGAGAAGGTTTGGAGGAAGTGGTGACCCAGCAATCTGTTGAAATCAGCCAACAGGAAACTATTGAAATTGAAAATGAAGAAAGTGAAAAAAAGGATGGAGAAGGTAAAGTGGGACCCTGTGAAAGAAAGATTGTCATCCTGTTGCGAAACTGTATATATGCCTCTGGCATGAAATGTAACTTTTATTTAAAAACCCACCCCTTTGAAAGATAGATGGAAGTACGTGCACTATCCAATAATGTTTTTGTTTTGGCCTGGAATGTGTACTGAATTTTCACCATGGATAAACCCAGCCTTTCATGCAACTACTGAAGCAATACAGAATTTTTGGCTGACTTAAGAACTATGTCAAACTAGCAACTGTGAACCTGTATAGTTTATTGAAACGTATGATGGCATTCACTTGTGTTCAGGACAGCTACAGGCAAAGCAGATGATAGTTAATTCAGGAGAAACAGAAAAATAAAATACACAACTGTCTTAATAGCTTGCTGCTTGACTTGTGTATCTTACTACATTGTTCTGGAATTAGACACGGAATCCTCATGTGGTATATATTCCTCTGTGTTTTTTTCCTTGCCGAATATTTGAAGGGGGCGGGGGAAGAAAGAAAGATTTACAGTGTTCATACAGAAATGTGTTTGCATGTTCACCAAATTGGGAAATTTGCGAAATAACTTCTTAAAAACATGCATAATACTATTGTTAATGTCTAAGTAGACTGAATGAAATGAATGAAGAAAAAAACTTTTTAATATCAACATTTTTTCTCCTTATAGGAGATGTAGATAAATCAGATACGTTTCCAATATATGATGGGCTTATGTTTTGTGCCAGCAGGAAAAAAGCAGGAATACTGATAGAATTCACCTCTATACAAAGGTAAACCTGAAATATGCATGTTTATTATAATTTTTAAATTACAAAGTAAAATGTTGTCCTATGAAATGTGTATGTATACTTTCATTGTTATACTTTATATAAAAAGGCTGGTATTTTTGTATTAGCTGAAACGGACAAAAGTTAGGTAGTTTATCATTCTAGTTCTTTTTCTCAGTGGAATTAAGTAATAAATCACTAAATATATAACTTCTAACACTTAGCCTACAAATTGGGACTAATAGATGATCTGAGCATACATCTAATGTGTTAAAAATGCAAGTGATAATTGTTTAAGATTCCTTTTTTTTTATTGTAGTGTCTTATCACAAAATATATTTAATAGAAAAACGGTCAAAATTAAAATAAAAATGATGGTGAATCCTGCCAAACTATGGAAGTAAATAAACTATTGTCACCACATTTTCAAAAGAATCTAGACATTGGTGCTGTTTTTAACTTGGTAACTTCCTGAATAAAACACATTCTCATTAATCTGCAGCGGTAATGGAAGTACTGAAGCAAGCAGTTGGTCATTGTCCAGGCCGTATTTCAAGGGGGTGCCAGGACTTTCCAGTACCTTCCTTTAAGGGATAGAAAAGTTCACTGAGAAGATTTCTTCAAAGTCACTGAAAGAGTCAGTGTATTCAGGTGCAACTGCAAAGCATCACAAATAACTGAGGACAAGTCTTTGAGGGAATACATTTTTATAAGGATAACTGATACAGCTGGAAAAAAAGTTAAAAAGAGTATCCTCTTGTATCTGAAAACTTGTTTAATATACTTAAAATGTATGGTGCTTCCTAGCTTCACACACTTTATTCAAAGACTAAAATGCATTTTGGATGGTATTTGGGCAACTGCGTATTGCTCTGGGTTGTTTTTGGCTTGGATAAGAGTTTCATTATGCCAGAGACGGCACAAAATCTTT